AATGGTCATGCATTCTGTTGAGGTTGGCAAGGAGATGTTTGAGGGAGGGTTAATATCAGAGTTAAGTGTTCTATGTATGTTATAGGTGCATAATAAGTATGGATTTTTTTGTATGGTGAGTAGGTTGATTGTTTTGAATATTTGTGGAGTGTGTTGCCTGTAGTGAGAATTATGTTATCATTCTAACTGCAGCCTTTTGTTGGGTAATATTGTGGTCTGAGATGGTTAATTGTTGTTGAGCCCATGCACAAATCCATAGGTGTGATAGGGTGTAAATAAGAGAGTGATAAAGGGCCAGGATGGGCTGACCTGTGGAACATAGTACCGTATCTTCGATAGTATGCCTACCGTTTGGAAATTTTCTTAGAAATTTGTTGTATTATGTGTATGAAAATTTTGAGTCTATTATCGAGGTGGATTCCTAGGAAATTTTCCCTCTTTTAGCTTTGTGAGAGTTGATCGTTTATTGTTATGTTATAAGAGGTACATCTGTAGCATCTGTTTACCAAAAACTGAATGAAAGTAGGTTTTGTCAATGTTTAGTGTTAAGTTTGTTAGTCCTCATCCAGGTAGATATTTTCTGTATTCGGTGTTTTACAGTATTGGCTAGCGTGACTGGGCTCGGGTGTGGAGAGAAGACGTATGTAGTGTCATCTGCAAAAAGTTGGGTTTGAGTAATTGCGATGCATTTGGTAGGTCATTTATGTATAGGAGAAAGAGAAGGAGGGCCATGGACACTTCCCTGTGGGACACCAACTGTCAATGGTTTGTGAGCGAAGAGTTGCCCCATTTGCGTACACATATTGGTTCTGTTTGCTGAGGGTAAGAGACTGAGGTAGTTGAGGGAGTGTACCCTCTAATACCATAGTGTGACAATTTTACGTGGAGCAAGTCATGGTCAACTGTATCAAAGTTACGTAAGTCAATGAAGATTCCCCAGTAGGACTTCTTTTTTCTCTATTGCAGTGTATTATGTTCTTGCATGTGTATAATAGCATCATTAGTTATTTTTTATATTAGACCTGATCCCAAATTGGCAGGGGTTGAGAATGTTTTGGGGAGATGATGGTAGGAGTAGATTCGTTTATTGTAATTAATTTTTTCGATGATTTTTTTTTTTTTGAGAGAGGGTGTAACTTGGATATTGCCTATAGTTATTCACTCTGTTTGGTCTCCTCCTTTATGGATCCGGGGTGACCTCCTTGCTATTTTGAGAACTGGTAGGGAAGGTGGAGTCAGGAACGCGGGAAAAAACTAAAAGCCATAAAAAAATCGAAAAAAACCCCAAAAAGTAATTCTTCTCCTATGCCAAAAAAAAGGGGGAAAGAACAACTTTCCAGTTTTTGGGCCCCCCTACTTAAACAAGATGGGCCTACACAGAGGGCCCAACAGGAAAGGGAGGGGAGTTTCCCAAAGGGCCCCCAATATGACTCAGTTTTTAGAAAGGGCCGCAAACCGATTTAAAGAGTGGGAAGATCAAAATGAATTTTTTTTGAAGAGACCCCAAAAAAATTTGTTTAAAACAAACCCTATCCGATGTTACCCCGACGCCAAATGATTTTCAAACAGGCGAAAAATGACATGCCCATGCCACCCCTCCCCCCGGGGCCCCCCAAAAGACTCGGGAAAACTCTGTTTTCCCTTTCAAGAACTGCAAGAACCCCCTTCCCCCCGACCCTTTTTCCATCTATGGAGAGGGAGCAGGGGAACACGGGGGTAAACCCACATTTTACTAAAAACAACGGGACATAGCCCCACCCCAACAAAGGGGGCAGTAAAGAAACAGCAAAAAATTTTTAAACGGGCCCCAATAGCACAAAAACCCCCCAAATATCATAAAAATCTTTAAAAAGGGTCCTAAGAAGCAAGATCACCACCATCTAAAAACCCCAAACATTTTACAAACCCCAGGGAACATGGGTTTTTAGAACAGGTCCTCCTGTCTGTCTCAACAAATTGGGCCATACGACAAGGTCCAAAATGCACTAGAAGACAAAAAAAAATGCAGAGTAATATATAAAGACTTTGCAAAACCTTCGACAAGGGGGGGACCATGGCAAAAATAGCGCAAAAAATGCGGGGCAAAAGGAAAAAACCAGGAAAAGTGGGTCGATGGATCTATAATTTCCTCCTAACAGAAACAGGGGATTTGTCGTCAACAGAGTAAAGCCCGAGGCAGCTACGGGAAAAGCTCTGTTCCAAAAGGCACAAAACTCGCTCCCACCTTGTTCCTCATCCTTATATCCGACATAGACAAGGTTTGTCAGCCACAAACCGTGTCTTCCTTTGCAGTGAAAACCCGAATCTGCAGACAGTGTCTTCCATTGCAGACACTGCAAAGCCCCGGGCAGAAAAACCCAAAAATTTTCATGGGCCCCAAAAAAAAAACCCAATATGAAGTTCAACGATAAAAAATTTCAATTACTAGATTGGTAAACTTTGGGGAAATTAAATCTTCATCAGAGTAAAAAACCCAAATTCTGGCCACAAAATAGAGCAAAACACCAAGGGCAAAGCCGGGGAGTAAATCATGTCGGAGGATTCCCCTTAAAGGGAAACCTTTAACATTTTTAATCGCATCTGCTAGAAAAAAATGACAGGATGGAAAAATGAGAACCCTTAAAAATTTGGGAGGAAAAGGGGCCCTTTAAAGAAAATTTCTTCAGGCCCTTTGGGTTTTATTTTGGCGGGAATATTGCTCCCACACAAAACAGCACCTTTAAAGGGCGGGTAAAATTTCCCCGCCCTTAAAAAAAATTACAGAGAACTTTCACGGCGCGCATAACGGAGATAAAAACCTCAATTATTGGGAGCGCTTGGGGTTTTTCCAAAACCCCTGTTTTCCCCTGGAACGCGGGAGGGAGGGGAACATGATTAAAAACCCCTGGAAAAACCCTAGGGGGGATAGTACCAAAAATTGCAAAAACGAAAAATCCCCACTACGAAAGCAAAAAAACTTTGGCAAAAACGATGCCCCCATCCCCCCTGAAAAGCGGGGGTGTCACTAGCACGTTAAGAAAACCATACAATAAGTTTCGGGGGCCCCAACTGTTCAACTGCCTCCCCGCCCCCCCCATAAGGGGGATTTCCAACAGGGCCCCTGGGCAGTCCCTTTAAGCTGGCACTGGAAAAGCCCCCTAAAGTCATTTTCCCCTCAGCCCGGGGTGTGGGGTCATTTTGGGTTTTCATGCAGCCAGAAGCAAAAAGCCTGGTTGATCCCGGCTCTGATCCACCCGGGGGCCTGGTCTCGACCGGGCCCCCGGGGGCGTTTTACCCCCCGGAAAATCTTTCCCGGGGAAAAAATCCAGGTAAACAATCCAGTGGGTCAAATAGTCTAAAAAAAATTTACAAAAAAGTATAACTAGAATTTTAATGATTTCAAAATTTTTACTATTACAATTTTAAAATAGGGGCTAGACCCCCTAGATGGAATGGCAAGGAAAATAATGGTTTAAAAGGCTGGGTCTTGCTTAACACAGTTTTAAAGGTAAACCCAATTACTCAAGAGAGAAAGTATTCATGAAATGAACATTATGCAGCATTAAAACTTTTTCAAGTAAAAATACAAAGCTAAGTTTTTTCACAATCACCGACAAAAAAACTGCAATTTGAAATATTTCTGGGAATTTAGCAAATAAAGTTTCAGTCTGGGCGGGGAAAAAGTTTAAAATTTTTAAAAAACCCGCAATGACAAATAGGAAAGCAATTTTAAAATTTTTAACCCTATTTTAAAAGTTCAGGTTTCACTGAAACAAGCATGGGATTACACTGATTTATCAAAAGTTAAAGGGGGTCACTACACATGAAGTACACTCTGAGTTTTAAAGCTTAATACAGGGTTACAAATGACAAAATTTAAAAATTTTTGGGGGAAAACACATTTAAAACTTCAAACACCGTTTTGAAAGAAGAATTTTTCACTGTGTAAAGCCAATCAACCAAAAAGCCTTTCTAAAGTTTTTTTAATGAACCTCTGGCATGTCCCCCCCTCAAAAAGTCAGCAATTTCAATGCCGTCAAATTTTTTCTCCAAACCCCTATAGGGAAAAACCCGGAAAGCCACAGCATGCAGAAAAGTATACAGCATGTTGGGGGCCCCAGGAAGGGTTTACTGCAGGCTGCCCTTGCTTGTTTGGGGTAGTTTTTGTGCTGCCCTCAAGCTTGGGTTGGCTGTGCCACCAAAACCCCCGCCCAAACCACCCGGACACCCCGCTTGGGAGAGGGGAGGCAGGCAGGCAACAGGAGGGGCACTCGCAGAAAGAGCGGGAGTGCGGCAAAAGAGGACACGGGCACTCAAGAACCCCTGGGGTCTTTCAAAAAAAACCGCCTCTAGACCACAAGCAAATAGAGGCGAACGGCTGAGTTCCAAATCGAGGAAGGAGAAGGGACAAGGAAAGGATATTCACCTCGCTAGACACAGGCAATATGGGTGTAGTGGCCTGCAGGTCGCAGTGCAATTTTCAAGGTCATTCACTGGGCCCACAGTCGTCTCGAGAGTTACCAACCCTGTACTACTTGTTAATTACTCCAAACCCGCAGCACTTAACACATCTAGCACACGTGTCTTGGAATGACAGACAAATTTTCACTACATAAGAACTAGTTCTCACAACACCGAAGGTACGGCCGGAACACTGTAGAACGTTCACAAAGGCATTCTGGGTTCAGAACAGATGTAGCCTTGGCCTTCACTGGCTGGCTTGGAGCGCTGTTTGGCCTGGATCAGCTAAACTCGCCCTTATCCCATATGTAGATAATGGCGACGAGTTAAGGGATACCTGTGAAAGGAAAGTCGAGGAAGGGACATTCACCTCACTAGACACACGCAGTATGGGTGTAAGTGGCATGCGGTCTTATAGTGCCATTTTCAAGGTCACCCAGCAGGCCAGACATTCCTCACTCATTTTAAGCCTACGTAGGTACTGATGGTAGCACAATGTCCTAAGTCAGCGTAATCCACTCATGCAAATAGTTACAACAAATCTGCAGCACTTGCGGAACTCAGAGTATTCGAGTACCAGCCTGGGCAGCAAAATACACCCTCTCAAACACTGCACGTCGTTGATAGAGGCGGAACGGGTCTTTGAGTTTGAAGGCGGAGCTGTTGTATATACAGGAGAACAGCAAGGGTAAACTGGGCACCTGCACATTCGCCTTGGTATTCACATAGTCAATATGGGCAAAAGTCTCAGGCAGATGATGCAGTGCCGTCGCTCAAGGTCAACAGTCGAGGCAGACTTCTCAAGAGTTACCAAACACTGCCAATATTTGTACAGATTGTTTACTCCTCCAACTTGCAAAAATTCTAGCAACACCCAGTCCTTGGAGTGAAAATAACCGAATTTTACAATGTGCGTACACCTGTTACCAACACACCCGTAGGACTGCACACTCGACGTTATTCCTCATGTTGGTAAAGCGATGAGTTTGATGCAATTTGGATGAACGAGTAGCAGTGGACTACTATCAAAATTTTCGCCTCTACACTGTATGCTGATAGAGGCGAAAGGCGGAGGTCAAATGAAAGTCAATAGGGGAAGCAGAGGCTGTGATGGCCTTTGCAAAAAGGAAGGACTTTTCAGTGTTTCACTAGTATAGTTCCTTAGTCCACACTCGCACCCATAAGAGTTCTCACAACACAGAAGCTGTCTTCCAACAGAAAGATTTATAATGATGACTTTATCAGTCGGGCGAAATGGTAGTCCTCGAATAGTAGGTCCAGATCTCCAGCACACGTCTACTCCCCTCAACCACTCAGCCGAGACTGACCTGTCATCGTGTGTGTGTATGACACAGAAAAAAGGCACCAGCAGATCTCCTACCATCATGTAAAACAATTACAAGTTCCCATTTCACACTCACTTGGCAGGACTGGTAGTACGTCCCTGAGTGCTTGCTGTCTACCAACCTACTACCGGTCCATATTATTTTTGGTTTCACACGTCATCCATCTCCCACGCAAAGGTAAGGGTGGACCCAAAAGAGAAACATTTTCACAATCATTCAACACTTTCACATCATAGACCCGACATATTCCGTATAAAAACTCTAAACCTGTGTTTGTTTTGTCAGTTTAGAGAGAATGTGATCAAAGTAGAATGACATGTAAAGCATATAATCTATATGGAAGGAAGGCGGGGTAGGGGTCGTCCTCCGAAAGGTTTGAGAGAGGGGTTAAAAGGGAGTTATTTGTGGCAAGGGGCTTGAGAACTCCAGCAATCATACGTGAGCGTGTTAGATAGGAGTGAATGGAGACAAATGGTACTTGGGACCTGACGATCTGTTGGAGTGTGAGCAGGGTAATATTTAGTGAAGGGATTCAGGGAAACCAGTTATTTTCATATAGTCGGACTTGAGTCCTGGAAATGGGAAGTACAATGCCTGCACTTTAAAGGAGGGGTTTGGGATATTGGCAGTTTGGAGGGATATGTTGTGTATCTTTATATGTGTATGCTTCTAAACTGTTGTATTCTGAGCACCTCTGCAAAAACAGTGATAATGTGCGAGTGTGGTGAAAGTGTTGAATGATGATGAAAGTATTTTCTTTTTGGGGATTTTCTTTCTTTTTTTGGGTCACCCTGCCTCGGTGGGAGACGGCCGACTTGTTAAAAAAAAAAAAAAAAAAAATGAAACTCGACTGGCTAGACTCTCCAGGTCTTACAAGTCTTCTGAGAGGCAACCTCGTCTAATTACTAATCAAACCTTCATGCAAGAGGTAATAAATATATACAATACCTGCTTAAGATAATATATAACAAGGTTGAGTCTAGCTTCTGGAATAACATCAACCAATGGAGGAAGGACCTGAAGTGCTCCTTCTCCTCCTCGAAAAACCACCAAGTTGTGTCGCACTAGATCTTGTGCAAATGTTAATGGTGATGATGTTACATCCTGTAAAAGAATTGTCTTTTTAAATTTTAGGTTTATATAATTTATAACAGCAATATATGTTTTTAACATAGTTTTGTTTCCCACTACAGTAGAGTGACCTAAGCAAGGAAATGCATTCACTATCACCCATCTCCAGGTGAATTTTCAGAAGTGCATGGACAACGCAATTCAAACAGCCTTCTGAACCACAACAACTCCCCACCAATCCTTCAGAGTGCAGGCACTTCAATTCTCACCTTAAGAACTCAAGTGTGACTAACCAGTTTTCCTGAACCCCTTCACAGATGGTACCCCTTCTCACATAACAGAATACTGAATCCAACTTACTTTGACTTAAATTAACAATTAAAGGAGAGATTAAATACTGAAGACACTACAAAATATGCATAGCTATGCTCATGTAGGTAAACATAGGTGATCACAAACTCACTACATTTGCATCAGATGGCTTTGGAGTAAGCCTTGCTCTCCATCCTTTAACAAAATGGATGAACATCTAGAGGCATCACAAAATATTTTACTGACACTGATCTTAATCTTTGACTCCATGATAAGAATAAATTACAAAGGAGGGCAAAAATTATGCCTACCATGCTTTAAGTAAATCTGTCTACAATTGTTGCTTGTATTTTTTTTAACACACTGGCTGTCTCCCACCGAGGTAGGGTGACCTAAAAAATGATATACTTTTACCATCATTAACACCATCACTGTCTTGCCAGAGACATACAAATACAACAGTTTAGATGTCCCTTGAAACAGCAAATATCCCAAATCCCTCCTTAAGAGTGCAGGCACCATACTTCCCACCTCCAGGACTTAAGTCTGGCTAACCCGTTTCCCTGAATCCCCTCACAAAATATTACCTTGCTCACATTGGACCAACAGCTTGTCAGGTCCCAAAAACCATTTGTCTCCACTCACTCCTATCTAACACACTCACACATGCCTGCTGTATGTCCAGCCCCTTGCACACAAAACCTTTTCCCACTCCCTCCGTCCTTTCCTAGGATGACCCCTACCATGTCTTCCCTCCATTACATATTTATACACCCTCCAAGTCATCTTATTTTGCTTCATTTTAGATGTGTTTTTTATCAACTACATTTGCAAATTTAACTGCATTGGTAGTTTTATGAGCTGACCCACAGATAAAGTTGTTTTGAAAATAACCCTTGGTGAAAAGTTTTAAATAAAAATGCATTAAGTAATGACTCACTTGCAATGTTCTTAGTTCTTGTTCTGCAGCTTTACCATTGTAAAGTCTAAAATGATTACAGGCTTTGAGATTGATAGCAATGGGAGAATCTGGGTAGTGCTGAAGATAAACAGCCAGCACCTCCTGTGATACATCATAGTAGTCCAGCTTGTAGTAGCACAGAGCAACATACACATTCAGAGCCAGGTATTCTCTGAGGTAAAAAAAATAATATAAACATATTAACTATCCAAGACATTGCTGTATAAGAATATCCTAAATAACATAGCAAGTAGAAAACACTTAGAAAAACAAAAACATATTGTACACTAAATGTTATTTGTTTAAAATGCATATTATTTTTCTAAAGCACTTATGATTAAATATATGGCTAACATTATATTCAATTACAAGAAAAGCAAAGAAGCATATGAATCAGATTGGTATACAGCCTCTCCTCACTTAACAATGGAGTTCCATTCCTAGGACCACGTCAGTAAACGAATTCATCGCTAAGTGAGGAGCAATCTTACTCTCTGTACTACCTTTAATTCTTGCAATAATAACTCTACCATACATTTTACTTAACAGAGTTACTCGTCTATAATTCTTGCACTCTTTTTGTCCCCTTTTGCCTTATACAAAGAAACTATGCATGCTCTCTGCCAATCCCTAGGTGCCCTCCCTACTCCAACAACATTTTGTACCAACTAGTTAATTTAAAACAAAAAATACTTCTATTTTTGAGTGTTTGAAAAGCACAGTTCTCCTGTGGATTCTTCCATATTCAACAGGTCTTCAGAAATGTTACCCCCCACAAATGTGGAGGTCTCATTGTATATACATACTGTAGTGATTTTTTTTTTTTTCAACAAACCAGCCATATCCCACCAAGGCAGGGTAGCCCAAAAAGAAAAACGTAAGTTTTTCTTTTTCTTTCTTTCATTCAACACACCGGCCGTATCCCACCGAGGCGGGGTGGCCCAAAAGGAAAAACGAAAGTTTCTCCTTTTACATTTAGTAATATATACAGGAGAAGAGGTTACTAGCCCCTTGCTCCCGGCATTTTAGTTGCCTCTTACAACACGCATGGCTTACGGAGGAAGAATTCTGTTCCACTTCCCCATGGAGATAAGAGGAAATAAACAAGAATAAGAACTAGAAAGAAAATAGAAGAAAACCCAGAGGGGTGTGTATATATGTGCTTGTACATGTATGTGTAGTGTGACCTAAGTGTAAGTAGAAGTAGCAAGACGTACCTGTAATCTTGCATATTTATGAGACAGACAAAAGACACCAGCAATCCTACCATCATGTAAAACAATTACAGGCTTTCGTTTTACACTCACTTGGCAGGACGGTAGTATCTCCCTGGGCAGTTGCACTGAATTATTTATTATTATATTAACACATTGGCCGATTCCCACCAAGGTAGGGTGGCTCGACAAAGAAAAACTTTCATCATCATTCACTCCATCACTGTCTTGCCAGAGGGGTGCTTTACACTACAGTTATAAAACTGCAACATTAACACCCTCCTTCAGAGTGTGGACACTGTACTTCCCATCTCCACGACTCAAGTCCGGCCTGCCGGTTTCCCCGAATCCCTTCATAAATGTTACTTTGCTCACATTCCAACAGCACATCAAGTATTAAAAACCATTTGTCTCCATTCACTTCTATCAAATACGCTCATGCACGCTTGCTGGAAGTCCAAGCCCCTCGCACACACAACCTCCTTTACCCACTTAATATACAAGTATACAAGCATAATTAGAAGACCAAATTAAATTTATTTAAGCTAACCTGTTATCCAGTAATATACGTTTGTAAATATCAATAGCTTCTTGATAGTGTGATCGAAGGTAATGAATGGAGGCTAAACTGAGCTGGTCTTCAATCACATCTTCCAACTGCTGGTGGTGCATCATCAGTCGTTTTTCATCATTAAATTTGTGGGCCAGGTGAAAAAACAACCTTGTTCGCAGTGGAGATTTTGGAGCTTTTTCAGCTGCCTAAAGACATTAAAGAATCTACTATTTCTTCACATAATATACAACAGTAATAATTTAACAGAGCCTAACTAAATATGAAAGAAACTTTACTAATAATGTATATAAATACTGTATTACACAATATAACTCAATGTTTCAATGCAAGTGAAATTCTCAAATACAACTTACCTCTTCAGCCTCTGGATACATCCCCAGGTAAAAGTAACAGCATGCTAGACTAATCCAGTTTTCTGGTGCTGGATTTTTATGCTGCAAAGTTAGGTTCTGAAATTCTACCAATGATCGTTTGTAATCACCCAGGTGGAATGCACAGTAGCCAATCCATTGATCATTGAGTTCATTTGTGTTGCCACTGCTACGTTCAAACTGAAAAGGATAGCATACATTCAGTAACACGAAAAAACAAAGCAAAAATTATAAAGAAGTATGACTGCATTAAATTTATATTATTGTCTTATTATTACTATTATTATTATTATTATTATTATTTTTTTTTCAACAAGTCGGCCATCTCCCACCGAGGCAGGGTGACCCAAAAAAGAAAGAAAATCCCCAAAAAGAAAATACTTTCATCATCATTCAACACTTTCACCACACACACACACATTATCACTGTTTTTGCAGAGGTGCTCAGAATACAACAGTTTAGAAGCATATACGTATAAAGATACACAACATATCCCTCCAAACTACCAATATCCCAAACCCCACCTTTAAAGTGCAGGCATTGTACTTCCCATTTCCAGGACTCAAGTCCGACTATATGAAAATAACCGGTTTCCTTGAATCCCTTCACTAAATATTACCCTGCTCACACTCCAACATATCGTCAGGTCCCAAGTATCATTCGTCTCCATTCACTCCTATCTAACACGCTCATGCATGCTTGCTGGAAGTCCAAGCCCCTTGCCCACAAAACCTCCTTTACCCCCTCTTTCCAACCCTTTCGAGGACGACCCCTACCCCTCCTTCCTTCCCCTACAGATTTATATGCTTTCCATGTCATTCTACTTTGATCCATTCTCTCTAAATGACCAAACCACCTCAACAACCCCTCTTCTGCCCTCTGACTAATGCTTTTATTAACTCCACACCTTCTCCTAATTTCCACACTCCAAATTTTCTGCATAATATTTACACCACACAGATTAGATTTTGCCACCGAAGTGGCTAGTTTATTGTGCACCCCATATCCATCCTGTGGACGGTAGCAGGAGAGCATATGGATACACAAAAGGCCTAGGAACTAGGCCCCAAAGGGTTAACAGGAATACATATGGATTTATATCTACAAATCTATAGTTCACTTATCTGTTACAAGCAAATTTAGGAAATTTGCTTAGTATATCTGGTATCTTATTTTCATTAATAAGATATCTTGACATGTCACATAGGTTATTATACTGTCTGTCTCTGTATTCCTCAATAAGTGGACAATTAAGCACATAATGTTCAAGAGAGTGACCATATGCCTGATCACATAATTTACATTTAGTTTGATCATCATCTGTGTGTCTCCCAAACTGCCAGAAGTACTTGTAACCAAGCCTAAGCCTGGCCACAACATCATCAGTCAGTCTGTTCACATTGCAAGTTGCTCCATAAACATACTTATCTACGTTCATGTTATCATAGTGGGTTATAGATCTACTCAGGCTTCTAACTACATTCCTATAACAATCATTTTCATTATTTACTTCTCTCCTAATATTATTCCTAATGCTAGACACAGTTAAGATAAGATAAGATAAGATTTCGTTCGGATTTTTAACCCCGGAGGGTTAGCCACCCAGGATAACCCAAGAAAGTCAGTGCGTCATCGAGGGCTGTCTAACTTATTTCCATTGGGGTCCTCAATCTTGTCCCCCAGGATGCGACCCACACCAGTTGACTAACACCCAGGTACCTATTTGCTGCTAGGTGAACAGGACAACAGGTGTAAGGAAACGTGTCGAAATGTTTCCACCCGCCGGGAATCGAACCCGGGCCATCCGTGTGTGAAGCGGGAGCTTTAGCCACCAGGCCACCGGGCCACCAAAAGTTATATTCTACATTCTCCTTCTGGATACTCTTCTTGGCTAACATATCAACTTTATCATGAAGGAGTAATCCAATGTGTGATGGGATCCATAGCAATTGTACATTAATTCCTGTCCCTAATTTTTAAGTATCTATACCTGGCTTCCCCAGTGAGCATGTTGTTGGAGTCATTATATGAGCCAAGAGCCTTCAATGATGACATAGAATCAGTAATGATGATAGAGTCAAGCTCAGTGTCATAGGTTAGCTTTAGCGCCATTAGGATTGCAAACAATTCAGTTTGCAGTGTAGACACCCAGTTGTTAATTCTTATGCCTAACTCAACAAATTTATTATCGTTCTTAACTAGGGAGGTGGCAACAAGAGCAGATGCAGCCCTGCCAGAAGACTCCTGTTTAGATCCATCAGTGTATATAACTTGTGATAACTTGTTACTACCAGCTAGGTGAGAAATTTCTTCTTGAGCAGTTGCCCTAACAAGAGATTTAAGGAAGGGATTACTAGCAATGAGCTTCTTGGGAGGGACTTGTAGGTATGTGATATTAAATGGACACATCTTCCATGGAGGGGTGAAATGCTCTTGTTGCCTACAGTGATACAGTTCATGCAGGTTATAAAACTTAATGCAATTACACGTTTTCACAATCCATTTAGATCTATGTGTATTTACCTCTAGACACTTGGTAAGATTCACTGTGAGTGTCTGGTTCATTTCTCAACATTCTAATACCGAGTACAGTGTTAATTTCAACAATCCTATCACTGATACTAGAAATACCAAGCTCCTTCCTCATGTTAAGAACTTTTGTAGATCTGGGACAGCCAAGAATAATCCTGAAAGCTTTATTTTGCATTAACTCCAAGGGTCGGAGAGAACTTTCTCTAGCTAATATCAACATGGGAGCAGCATAATCAATTAAGGACCTAACATAGGCTATGTACATCATTCTCACGATTCTCACATTAGCACCATAGTTGGGATTGTAGCCAGCAACAGCTTTGAGAGCATTTAGCCTAGCTTTACATTTCTTGTTTAGTTGTGGTATAGTGGATTTGTTAAAGGGTACATCTACACCAAGATATCTGTAAGTTTTAATGTAGCTAATGATTTCACCCTGCAAATAGATGGGTGGGGTTACACCACACATTGCCCTTAGACAGGACATCTCCACTGCCTCCAACCATCTCCTCGCTGCTGCATTTACCACCCAAGCTTCACATCCATATAAGAGTGTTGGTACTACTATACTTTTATACATTCCCTTCTTTGCCTCCATAGATAACGTTTTTTGACTCCACATATACCTCAATGCACCACTCACCTTTTTTCCCTCATCAATTCTATGATTAACCTCATCCTTCATAAATCCATCCGCCGACACGTCAACTCCCAAGTATCTGAGAACATTCACTTCTTCCATACTCCTCCTCCCCAATTTGATATCCAATTTTTCTTTATCTAAATCATTTGATACCCTCATCACCTTACTCTTTTCTATGTTCACTTTCAACTTTCTACCTTTACACACATTCTCAAACTCATCCACTAACCTTTGCAATTTTTCTTTAGAATCTCCCATAAGCACAGTATCATCAGCAAAAAGTAACTGTGTCAATTCCCATTTTGAATTTGATTCCCCATAATTTAATCCCACCCCTCTTCTGAACACCCTAGCATTAACTTTTTTTACAACCCCATCTATAAATATATTAAACAACCATGGTGACATTACACATCCCTGTCTAAGACCTACTTTTACCGGGAAGTATTCTCCCTCTCTTCTACACACCCTAACCTGAGCCTCACTATCCTCATAAAAGCTCTTTACAGCATTTAGTAACTTACCACCTATTCCATATACAGTGGACCCCCGCATAACGATTACCTCCGAATGCGACCAATTATGTTAGTGTATTTATGTAAGTGCGTTTGTACGTGTATGTTTGGGGGTCTGAAATGGACTAATCTACTTCACAATATTCCTTATGGGAATAAATTCGTTCAGTACTGGCACCTGAACATACTTATGGAGTGAAAAAATATCGTTAACCGGGGGTCCACTGTACTTGCAACATCTGCCACATTGCTCCTCTATCCACTCTATCATATGCCTTTTCTAAATCCATAAATGCAATAAAAACTTCCCTACCTTTATCTAAATACTGTTCACATATATGCTTCAATGTAAACACTTGATCTACACATCCCCTACCCACTCTGAAGCCTCCCTGCTCATCCGCAATCCTACATTCTGTCTTACCTCTAATTCTTTCAATTATAACCCTACCGTATACTTTTCCTGGTATACTCAGTAAACTTATTCCTCTATAATTTTTACAATCTCTTTTGTCCCTTTCCCTTTATATAAAGGGACTATACATGCTCTCTGCCAATCCCTAGGTACCTTCCCCTCTTTCATACATTTATTAAACAAAAGTACCAACCACTCCAACACTATATCCCCCCCTGCTTTTAACATTTCTGTCATGATCCCATCAGTTCCAGCTGCTTTACCCCCTTTCATTCTACGTAATGCCTCACGTACCTCCCCCACACTTACATTCTGCTCTTCTTCACTCCTAAAAGTTGGTATACCTCCCTGGCCAGAGCATGAAATTACCGCCTCCCTTTCTTCCTCAACATTTAAAAGTTCCTCAAAACATTCTCGCCATCCATCTACCTAATACCTCCCTCTCCCCATCTACTAACTCCCCTACTCTGTTTTTAACTGACAAATCCATACTTTCCCTAGGCTTTCTTAACTTGTTTAACTCCCTCCAAATTTTTTTCTTATTTTCATTAAAATTTCTTGACAGTGCCTCTCCCACTCTATCATTTGCTCTCCTTTTGCACTCTCTCAACACTCTCTTCACCTTTCTTTTACTGTCCATATACTCTGCTCTTCTTATAACACTTCTGCTTTGTAAAAACCTCTCATAAGCTACCTTTTTCTCTTTTATCACACCCTTTACTTCATTATTCCACCAATCACTCCTCTTTCCTCCTGCCCCCACCCTCCTATGACCACAAACTTCTGCCCCACATTCTAATACTGCATTTTTAAAACTATTCCAACCCTCTTCAACCCCCCCACTACTCATCTTTGCACTAGCCCACCTTTCTGCCAATAGTCGCTTATATCTCCCCCGAACTTCCTCCTCCCTTAGTTTATAACACTTTCACCTCCCTCTTACTTGTTGTTGCCACCTTCCTCTTTTCCCATCTACCTCTTATTCTAACTGTAGCAACAACTAAATAATGATCCGATATATCAGTTGCCCCTCTATAAACATGTACATCCTGGAGCCTACCCATCAACCTTTTATCCACCAATACATAATCTAACAACTACTTTCATTACGTGCTACATCATACCTTGTATATTTATTTATCCTCTTTTTCATAAAATATGTATTACTTATTACCAAATTTCTTTCTACACATAGCTCAATTAAAGGCTCCCCATTTACATTTACCCCTGGCACCCCAAATTTACCAACTACTCCCTCCATAACATTTTTACCCACTTTAACATTGAAATCCCCAACCACCATTACTCTCACACTTGATTCAAAACTCCCCACGCATTCACTCAACATTTCCAGAATCTCTCTCTCTCCTCTACACTTCTCTCTTCTCCAGGTGCATACACACTTACTATAACCCACTTTTCACATCCAATCTTTATTTTACTCCACATAATCCTTGAATTTATACATTTGTAGTCCCTCTTTTCCTGCCATAGCTTATCCTTCAACATTATTGCTACTCCTTCTTTAGCTCTAACTCTATTGAAACCCCTGACTTAATCCCATTTATTCCTCTCCATTGAAACTCACCCACCCCCTTCAGCTTTGTTTCACTTAAAGCCAGGACATCCAGTTTCTTCTCATTCATAACATCCACAATCATCTCTTTCTTATCATTTGCACAACATCCATGCACATTCAGACTTCCCACTTATTATGATTATTATTATTATTATTATATTTTTTTAACACAGTGGTCATCTCCCACCAAAGTAGGGTGACCCCCTCCCCCCCCCAAAAAAAAATACTTTCACCATCATTCACGCTACCACTGTCTCTGCAGAGATGTGCAGATAATATTCTCACAAAATACTAAGCCATGTGAGTTACTCAGTGCTGTCTGGCAAGGGCAAGACAGACAAGGGAAGAAAAAGTGGTAGAATTTTTGAGAGCCAAAGAACAAAAGAAGGAAATCACAGTTGGAGCAGAAGGTAAGTTTCAGTTAAAAAAATTATGAGAGACAAGTCACAATAAATGTGGAAGTATCAGAAAAGAGTGAAGACAAACCGAACATGTCAGTGTATTGGAGGGAAGAGCAAAACTGAAGTGTACTGTAGTTGTGATCACTAATAATCAGGACATTCAATCAAAAGATGTTGGCCTGGCAACACACCATGACAATTTTTGCAGTAAAATAAAATAAATAAAAATGTAATACAACACCTACATAGAGATACAAACTTGCTAAATGCAGGTTACTGCCACCTAATGACAATACTGCAATGTGTTGCATAAAAACTTTTCTCAGTGCAAAATCAAAACCAGCCATATAGAGTAATTTTTTTAAAAACAAGTTCAATACATTTCCTTTTCTTGGTTCCTCTTTCTTGTAAATGTTAATATTAACACCACAATACTGATATTTAAATAAATACAGCTGCAAGAATTTTTCAGCCAGGCACTCATAATGCAAAAATCAAAGCCAGACATAGGTCAAAAGCTCAATGTACAGGTATTTCCTGGATCCAACATTTTTATCTGACTTTGCTGTCAAAAATTTCAAATGAACACAGGTGGGAGAGATACATGATTATATACACCTGGAAAATCCTAGAGGGACTTGTACCGAACTTGCACACGAAAATCACTCACAATGAAAGCAAAAGACTTGGCAGACGATGCAACATCCCCCCAATGAAAAGCAGGGGTGTCACTAGTACGTTAAGAGACAATACAATAAGTATCAGGGGCCCCGAGACTGTTCAACTGCCTCCCAGCATACATAAGGGGGATTACCAATACACCCCTGGTTGTCTTCAAGCAGGCACTGGACAAGCACCTAAAGTCGGTACCTGATCAGCCGGGCTGTGGCTTGTACTTTGGACTGCGTGTGGCCAGCAGTAACAGCCTGGTTGATCAGGCTCTGATCCACCAGGAGGCCTGGTCACAGACTGGGCCGTGGGGGCGTTGACCCCCGGAACTCTCTCCAGGTAAACTCCAATGCCATGGGGACAAGAGAATATTAAAGAAACTAAGAAGCATGAATTCTAGCAGATGCAACAGGAATCACACAATGAGTACTTTGTTTGCTACCAAGTTTCTTACAAACATTGATCCTCTATAAAAAAGTCAGGTTTACATCCAAATTAATAGTTTTTCTCCTTAGCCTTTACACCACTGTAATCTCTATCACTTGCTTCACTTTCAAAACTTGTTTTTTTGGACAAAATATACTAATGTACCATTAAGCTGGGCACAAAGAGTTGACTAGATGCATAAAGAGTCTAATCCAACACCCATACCACCTTAGAGTGCAAGTCTGGCTGTCACGTGCTTGTTTCATCCCTGGAGCCTCTACCAAATTGCCGAGAACACCTATGACATTTGCTATTAGACTGAGAGAGGATGTCATTTTGAGAACTTGTTTCCAAATGTAACATTTATCATAAAATAATTTTAGTTTAAATGGGTTTTAAGGAGGGTGTGCTCTGTTACAATTAAATGACCCATGAAATTATAATAACACAATTTTATACAACTCACAGAGTAGATAGTGTTCGAACCCCATCTGTTCTGTGAGCTATTATGATTAATAAAATGTGCAGCAAAAGCATATTGAAAAGGAATACCCTATAATGGACAGGATCTAAGAAAGAACTGTGAAGAGTAATAGCCACCTTGAGAATTAGTAGTAGTAAAGATATCTTGGAAAATACAAGGGTGTGCAACTGATGCATTAATTGTAATGCAAACCACAGGGAAGAGTAAAATAACTTCTGAGGTTTCGTGTAGCAGTGGGATTATGTTTCATCTAGTGGTAAGATTGTTTTATGTGACTGACCTAGGATTGTATTTCATGTAGTGGTAAGATTATGATTATATTATGTACTTGTAGGATTGTTTTATGTGCTGGTAGGATTGTGTTTCATTTAATGATAAGATTGTATTTCACATAATAGTATGACTGTTTTATACACTAGTAGAATTGTATTTCATGTGGTAGTAGGACTGTGTTTTATGATGATAGATTTATACTTTATGTAGTGATAGGATTGTATAGCATATGGTGGTTGGATTGTTGTATGTGGTGGTAAGATTGTGTTTTATGTGGTGTGCTTTAAAAACAAATGGAGAGATTGGAAGGGAGGATGGGTAAGGAAGAGGCAAGAAAATTGTAGGTAGTGAGATAAAATGAAATTCACATATGGAAGATACAATTACTACTCAAAATCTGTACCTCCAAAAGTGTAATAGCACCAGTAAAATCTCTCTTCTTAAGGAAATCTTCCAACTTTGGCAGTACTTTCTTGTTGTTTCCAGCATTGGCTTCTGCTGCTGCATTTGATGATAATGCTGGTTTTGCACGTGACAAAATCTGAAAAAATAAACATCTATTTTATTAAAATTGCATGTGTAAGTGAATAATATGCTATATAACCTTACAATAAAATATGCCAAAATTAAAAATTTATTGAAGGCTTATAATACAGTAATATATTAAAAATTAATGCTAATTAAGGATAATCTACAGCAGTGGTCCTTGACCTTCCTACACAAGTGGGCCACATTTGATGATCAAATGTGTAATGAGGGCTGCACAGTTTTGCTGACACTGCAGTGTGGAACCTATTTAAAAGTGAATTCATAATTTTATGTGAGGGCCACATCCATTTCCGAGAAGGGCCACATGTGGCCTATGGGCCACAGGTTGGGGACTCCTGATCTAGAGTGATTCCATTTCCCTGCTATCTGTGCTTCTTGACTATACTGTACGCATGTACAGTACTTCCATCACTCCAGAATATCAGAAATATCTAATGGTTGTACGTATAACCAACTGATAATTATCAGACCACTTTTCATAATTTCTTAATAAAGTATTTTTTAGAAAACCTATAACCATAAAACTAAAAATCCACTTGTGGCTTCTAAGCAGAAAAAATTTTTATTTTTATTATTTTTAAAATATATAACAAATTAATCAAACATAGGAGGAGAATTATCCAATTATGAAATTAAAAATGTCTCACTAAAAATAAAAAATTGCTGTATCTATTATGCTTCTAAGGATACTTGCCCACACAGAAGTTTCAAGCCAGGCCTCCTATTACGAAACACAGCACGACAGTAAAGATACAGTAGTATGTGTATACTGATTGTAAGAAGAGGTTTATAAGATTTACATATCATCTGGCACATTCATAAGATGGAAAGAAAAGACCAGCAATCTTGCCAGAGAACAAAATGCTTAATAGGCTTTAGTTTCACAATCTTATGACAGGACAGACAGTAGTACCTTCCTAGACGATTTTTGTCTACCAACCTACTACCTAACATAACCTGCAATAGAAATAAGAGCCTCATTGTGAAAAGAGATGCATACTGGGCTGGAAAAAACAAATGGGGGCCAGCCAATGCTGTTCTTGATGTATGTCAATGATCTATTGGAAGAGAACAATTGTGGTGAAAAAGTGAAGCACACTAGGGAAGGACATAGTGGAGACAAGCTTTATAAAATATTTATATGTAAATAAAATAGAACCAAATGGGTTAAGGATACATAATATTGAATGATTAAGGGTTAAGGCCAGGGCAAGGAACTGAAGCTGAATCTCATTAAACACTACAATGTAAGCACACAAATAAATACAGTAAATACACATCTGCACAGTTCCATAGTATTTTACTCAGAATTTTAGTGACAACATGTAAAGTATCAACCATGCATTTTGTTCTTGGCTTGTAATTTAGATATAAAAATGTTGTGATGGAGCACTTTGGCACCATAACATTGAGTTCTAATAGAACCTTATCTAATAAGAACACAGAAAATGTTTCTTGTGCATGCATAGTTCCTAACATAGAAACTTAACAAAACAAATAATTTAGTAATAAAACAAGAAAATAATATTTGAAAAATCTCAGCTTAAAAAATATGAAAAACTCATTGTGCTTCCTCATTTCAATTATTTTATATCTATAATCATGAAATATTATATACATACGTAAAGTTTAAATTGTCAGGGCTAAGACCTATCTACAACACACAGCTTATTATGGCAACAATTCCACTACCCACTAATAAGAAACTTTTAATCCTTAACATAGTGACTGAAGTAAACTCTGTGTATATAGAGATATACACTAAATGTAACTATAACCCTACTCCCTCCCCATGTGGCTGACAAAGAAATTATGCAGCTTACCATGTTGTTGTTTTTTTTACATTTACAAATGCAAAAAAAAAAATCATGCAGTCATAGTAAGTGTCGAGGTTGCTTCAGTACATGGAGTGGCTGGATGCGAACCGTGAGAAACACTGACTGTCTCTTCTTGTTAAGGGTACATGTAGTTTGCATAAAGATTCTTCTACTCTCAATGACTGCACAAGTTGGGATGTAAAGTGATTTTAGTGTGTTTGTTCAGTGATGTCTGCTGTCACTGCTGTCTTCAGGAAACGTGCAGTTTGCTTGGAGGTGTCACTATAGTTGCATGTGGTACTCAAGTCCTTCTTGGTGAGTTTATCAAGGTCACTGACAACTACTTACATTATTCTTCTCCTTGGGTTGATCAGAGCCACTGTCTGCTACTCACGACCTTGTTGGGTTGATCACAGCCACTGACAGCTACTAACAGCCTTCTTGTTGGCTTGATCAGAGCCACTGACAGTTATTCACCGTCTTCTTATTGGATTGGCCAGGGCCACTGACAACTACTCACGGCCTTCTTGTTGGCTTGACCAGGGCCACTGACAGCTATTCACGGCCTTTTTGTTGGCTTGACCAGGGCCACTGACAGCTACTCGTGGCCTTCTTGCTGGCTTGACCAGAGCCACTGACAGCTACTCGTGTCCTTGCTGGCCTGATCAGAGCCACTGACAGGCACTCTTCCCCTTCTTGGTGTTTTTAGGGCTACTGACAGCGTACGCCGTATCGAGCCTGACAGCTACTTGGCCTGACAGCCTGAGGAATGTTGTTATTGTTGGTGCCGCCGTCGTCATGGTAACAAGAATTCAAGTATAAAATTAATGTATGGAAAACTTTGATGTTATGAGACAATTATTCCTAAATATTGTAAAGTAATCAGTAATTCATTATAAATTATATTTGTTTTGGTATTGAAATAGTTATTTTGTTCTATATAATTAAAAACCCCAAAGGTTAATTGTATCACGAATGTATTAAAGTCTGAAATGTTTACATTCCTTAATTAAGTTGTGTAGTGAGTGTGTCTGCCTGAAACTAGCAACGCATGTTCTACGACTTATTATGCGAAAATATTACAACCCATTAGCCTACAAAAGTCTGTGTAAATAAAGTAAGTTGTTAATTTTGCATTACGGTATACATGTATTAGGTAGAGATACAGAGAAACTTGTTCGAGTTGTCTTAAGGTTAAGAAATCCTACTTGACTTAAGATCATTGAATCAATTTGAAATAATAACTAATAAGGCATGCTTTAAAGCTGTAATGTTGTTCACTTAGTTACCTTTCTTACTGTAAATTAATTATGGTTAACTCCATGAGAAATCTTAATAATCTATCTAGTTTTTAAGTTGTCTTTATGCATTAGGATTAGTTTGCCCGAATTACATTGCATACTAATGGCTATTTTTTGTGCCTAACAGTGTTTTTATTGCATGTAAACTACATTATATGTGTACTGCATAAGAGAAATAAAAATTTGATTGTGTTCATCAGGATGCATACTAATGTCACCCAACCAATAAACACTCAAGTTTTGATAAGTCCTACATAGTTTTTTGGGAATATAGCTAAAAGTTATTCAATTGAACATAACGGTAAATACACATATTGAAAGACAAGATGAGGGAATATTCATAGGTATACACCTTGACATTAAACTAAAATTTAACACTTGACTTCAATACATATCTAAGAAAATTTCTAAAATAGTGAACCACCTTTTAAACACACGTTACTTTGTATCTCAAACAACATTACTCTGTACTATGTATTCTGTTTGTACCTCGCTTACGTTGTATGTGAATGAGGCTCTACAACAGTAAATCACTTAAAACTCATTGTAAGTTGACAAAACTCTGCTCTTAGAATGATTACACAGATTTCACAAAACACACCCCCTACTATTCAGAAGTTTAAATTTACTTGACATGCAAAGCATCCATATATATAATAAACAAAACTTGGATATATACAGTAAACACAGGCACTCATTGCAAATGTTTATCTATATTATTACTCTATGTATTCTGTTACAGAATACATAAAAATATATACAAGATATCCCATAAAAATATATACAAGATATCCCATGTGTTCGACTCTACATAAGTTGAAATTCCATACAAATTAAAGGTTGAAAAATGTGGAACAGTCTACTAGAAGACTGAATATTAATGTTTAATATATCTAATATCACTTATTCCTTGTAAGTGAACAAACTGATGTTTCATCAGGACCATAGACTCATGCCATCTATAACACATCCTCCACTCTTAAACGTAGGTAATATCTCGTATTTTTTCAAAACATCAAGGCTTTCATGCTGAAACTTCTTGCAACTTTCAGCATCACTTGCATTCCTCTTGAGTACCATGGCTAATATCCAGATATGAGATATGATGGTAAAAAAAATATAGATCCACTAACACAGAACTGAGTATGGCATGGGATGAAGCTGTATACATTAAGTGCTGTTAGATCTCTCCCTTAAAAACAAATGGCCTAACCCTTAGGCTGGCCAAGAGCTAGAGGGGGAAGCTCCTGTGACATTATTTATTTTTCTCCTAAATTTGCACCATCATAAATGAACATCACAGCATCATGATTAAAAAAAGCCACAATTTTTCAGCTGTCCTAATAGACTGCATTTTGACCGATGGTCTACTGTACTTACCAATAATTAATAAAATTTTGTAGCAGTAATTATTTGAACCCTTTATATTCCACCATAAAGAAGGAATTATGCAGTTCTGTGTCTGAGTTTAATGTCTGAGTATAAGGATCATGAGGCAAAGGTCTGGAACACATTTTCCCTAATTTAAGATAAGTTTGATATCAGTAAACCTCTCAAAGAATGCACCCCTTACAGATGCTTAGTAAATGTACAGTCATGGACAATAGGCCTTACTCGAGGTTGGTGCAGCTTCACACAGGAATGCAACAATAAGTTTCCAAGTGACTGCATATACTAAATACGTCAATAAACAGTTGTAAAATCTTGTCTTTGTAAATGAGGCTTTTCATATGATATCACAGCAAACAACCTTCCTCCATAACCTCATCTAATGAATTTTGTAAACATTTGTGGTCGGATTCTTTATATAAAATAATTTTGTAATGCTTTGAGAATAACTGTGTCTTCTGTGTTTGTACATACAGTATTCATGAAAATTTTTATTTAATGATGAAACTGTACTAGAATACACTTTACAGTGGACCCCGACTTACGATATTAATTCGTTCCAGAAGGCTGTTTTGATGCTATTACCAAACGAATTTGCTCCCATAAGGAATATTGTAAATTAGATTAGTCCGTTTCAGACCCCCAAAAATACACTTACAAAAGCACTTACAAAAATACACTTACATAATTGTTCGAGTTGGGAGCTGATCATAAGTCAGGGGTTCACTGTACTTCATATTAGATGCTTATTGCTTTTTATATATGTATACAGTAATTTTAATTTGTGGGTCTTCAGAAGAGATGTTCTAGTTTGAACTGTCTATATTTATAGGCAAGAGCTAGGTGATGAGGGTAACAAAAGATCTAAGTAATGAAAGACTGGATAAGAGATTGGAGGAAGGTAGTATGGAGGCAGTAAATTTGTCCGGATATTTAGGAGTGAACTTAATGTACAATACTGTACAAGTTTTTGAAGTTTGGAATGGAGTTTAATGAAGTTTTAACTTCATTTTTTCCTTTCAGGTTTTTCATAATGCGATTCAAAACTTCAATACAAAATAAGCCGAAGCATACAGATCTTGTCTCTTGTGTAGGATGGGTGTCACCTGATGAAGTTTATTCTTGTGGGTGAGTATTTGAAAATTTTTCTATCGTATAAATGTTATCTTAAACACAATGCAGGCAGATGCTGTACACTGGCTTTGAGAATTTAAAATAAGTTATACAGTATTCTTAAACAAATCAGTATAATACAGTGGAACCTCGGCTTACGAATGCCCCACCATGTGAATTTTCAGTGATGCGAACAGCCGCTTGGTCAATTTTTTGCTTCTGGATACGAACGAAATTTCAGGATGCGAACTACCCCCTCAAGGGAGGCTCCTTAAATTAATAAATAAATAAAAATAATAATAATAATAATACAATATAATAGTGATGTATACCATAACAGTAGTACATTTGTTGTCATTTATAGACATTTTTCGTAATTTTTTCATATTTTCGTGCCAAATGCTTCAAAATACAAATTAGTAACTCTCTGGGTGTGAGGTTATGAACTAGCCCAGGCAGTACCAGCATAATATATACATGTATAGTACTTCTACATTATGTACAATACTAATTAAGAGCATAGCAAGTAAATCAATGAAAAGTGAGTGAACAAAAAGTAAAACAACAATTGTAGCAGGTAAGTTCAGCGATAAAGTGTAGCATTAAGTGTAGCAAGTAAGTTAAGTGATTAATAGAAAAAGGACGACATGAAACTAACTTCCACCACCCTTAAGCTCTGCCAGCATCTGCTCCAAGGTAAGTGTGTACTGTATTATACGTACAATAACCACTTTATTTCATTACATTCTCTATTTCTTATTTATAAATTACATACATTGTTTCAGCATTTTCCTTATGAAACTGTGATCTAGTGCAGTTAGCTTCACAAGCACTCTGTTTTCACTTATAATAAGAGCAGGGGAAGATACTATAGTCAGTGGGAGAGTAAATGGGGGATGCTGCTGCTTCCAGCATCACTCGCCATATTATGGCCTATTTTATTCATTCTAGAGTATATATCATGTTTCTATGTTATTTATATTGTTTATTATGTCAGATGAATTGTGATAGATAAATAAGCTTTAGAGTTGGTATTAGCGTCATATTGACGTGTATTTTGTCATGCCCCCTGAGAGCAGAAATTCCACTGGAACGGATTAATGGCTTTTCAGTTAATTTAAATGAGGAAAATTGACTCAGCATAAGAACAAATCAGGACATGAACAAGGTCACAGAACAGATTAAATTCGTAAGCCGAGGTACCACTGTACAGTGGAACCCTGAATTTCATCCTCCTTGAGTATCGTACGCTTCGAGTTTAGAGCCGTTTTTTCGGCTAAATTTTGTCCCAGGTTTTGAACTGTGCCCCGTGTTTCGTCCCATGTACCAGACCTGTCTGCCTGCCTGCGCTTACGCGCCTCCCCGCGCAGGCATTGCGAATCAGTCTGGCTGCTTGTTTATCTCTGAGTGAACATGACCCTGCATGCTCATCCAAACATTTCACAATTAATTCATTGTGTTTGGTGCTTGTTTATTGAGTGTGACTGTGAAATAAGTCACCATGGACCCAAAGAAACTTCCTAGTGGCACCCCTTTGGTAAAGAAAGTGAGAAACACAATAGAAGTGAAGAAAGAAATACAGTACAAAAATATGATAGTGGTGTGTGAGTTGTGGAGCAAATCAACAATCGCTTCTATCCTGGTGAAGAGAAAAGAAACCAAGAAAGCTGATATTGTGAAAGGTGTAGACATGTTTACCAAAAATAGATCACGAACAATCGAAGACATTGAGAAGTTGTTGGTGGTGTGGATCAACAATAAACAGATAGCAGGTGATAGTGTTTCAGAGTCACTTATTTGTGAAAAGGCAAGGCACTTGCATGACAATCTCATAAAGAAAATGCATGCAACAAGTGCTGATGTTAGTGAATTTAAGGCCAGCAGAGGCTGGTTTGACAGATTTAAGAAGCATAGTCACATACACAGTGTGGTAAGGCATGGTGAGGCTGCCAGTTCTGACAAACATGCTGCTGAAAAATTCGTAAGTGAATTTAAGGGGTATGTAGAGACTGAAAAATTCGAACCCCAACAAGTGTTCAAGTGTGATAAAACAGACCTCTTTTGGAAGAAAATGCCAAAGAGGACCTACATAATGCAGGAGGAAAAGGCATTGCCAGGACACAAGCCTATGAAAGACAGGCTAACTCTTTTGTTCTCTGCTAATGCTAGTGGGGATTTTAAAGTGAACCCTTTACTGGTGTATCACTCAGAAAATCCCAGTGTGTTCAAGAAAAACAATGTCATCAAGAATAAATTGTGTGTTGGGGAAAGCTAATATTAAGGCATGGGTCATGAGGCAAATTTTCAGAGTGGGTCCATGAAGTGTTTGGCCCTAGTGTTAAAAATACCTCCTGGAAAATTATTTGCCACTCAAGTGCCTCCTGGTACTGGACAGTGCTCCTGCTCATCCTCCAAACGTGGAAGACCTATTGCCTAGGGACTTCAGTTCTTGCCTTTTGCACCACTACTCTCCTCCAGCCCATGGACCAGCAGGCCATTTCTAACTTCAAACAGCTCTACACCAAAGCAGTGTTTGAAAAGTGCTTTGAAGTGACCTCGGACACTCAGTTGACCCTAAGAGTGTTCTGGAGGAATCACTTCACTATCCTCCATTGCATAAGCCTTATAGGTAAGACTTGGGAGGGAGTGACTTTCAGGACTTGGAACTCTGCTTGGAGACAATTGTAGCCAGAATGTGTCCTCCAGAGGGATTTTTGAAGGGTTTGAGGCTGACCCTGACCCTACTGACCCTCTTCCTGTTGTGGAAGGTATTGTGGCATTGGGGAGGTCCACGGGGTTGGAGGTGAGTGGCAAGGATGTGGAAAAGTTGGTGTAGGACCACAGGGAAGAGCTAACCATAGTCTTTTAAATATTTTTTATACAAAATTGAGACAAAAGTCAATAAAATTTTCAATCCTGAAATTTTGTGCACTGTATATGTGTTCTAATTTTTTTATACAGGGATGATCATCAACTTCTTCAGTGGAATTTAGTGTCTAATGAAACTAACAAGATATCAGATCTACCATCTGATGTTTATCCTATTGATTTACACTGGCTTCCTAAAACTGCAGTACAGAAGGCCAAGGCTGGATCTGAAGTATTTTTAATGACAGCAGCTGATGGTAAGGTTAAAATTGAATATTACATCAGTAATAATAATAATAATAATAATAATAATAATAACTACTATAGTAGCTGTAATAATAGCAATACATATGAGACTTTATATTATCAGAATGTACCTATATATCTAGACATTAGTTAAGGACTTGAATTCTTGCTGTAGAATATTTAGATTTCCATAGTTGAATTTTTGCTGTAGAATGCTTAGATTTCCATAGTTGAATTTTTGCTGTAGAATTCTTAGATTTCCATAGTTGAATTTTTGCTGTAGAATTCTTAGATTTCCATAGCTGATTTTTTGCTATAGAATGCTTAAATTTCCTTAGTTAAATTTTTTCTATGGAATGCTTAGGTTTCTATAATTAAAGGTTCGCTGTAGAATACTTAGGGTTACATAGTTGGACCATTTAACCCTTTGGGGGTCGACAGGTCCTCTCAGAGACTTGTTCTCAGGGTCAGCCAAATTTAAAAAAAAAAATTATTTTTTCTTATAAAAAGATAGAGAATCTTTTCCCAATCATAATGGCACCAAAAGTATGAAATTTGATGGAAAACTTACAGAATTATGCTCTCGCGAAGTTAGCGGTCTCAACAATGTTTACACATCGGCGATTTTGCCCACTTTGAGCCCTATTTTCGGTCAATTCCAGTGTACTAGTCGACAAAAATCATAACTATTTCGCTAGAACTCCATTTTTTCTATCGAATGAGTACTTGAAATCACCCATTTACCTATTTCAACTATCCAATAAATTGGTCAGAATTTAGCAATTTTGCCAATTTCACACAAATTTCAAAAGATGCCAATTTCCGAATAGTTTTCAGAATAGAAAGACATTCCTGGCACTAAAATAACAAGTTTTCTGTTTGTTAGTCACATCCCCAGGCCCCTTTTATATTTCTTTGGCTTTCCACTTTGAATTTTTATTCTTACAAAAAAAATAGGATTTACTGTTATGCAGACTACTGCATTACTGTAGAAATGGTATAAATAATATCAGCGCACTTGTGAAAGAATATTAGACTCACCACTTGATGTGTATTGGACGTTTGGCATGATTTGTTTAGTTTTGAACTTTGGTAAAAATCGAACATTTCTGCTACTTTGAGCTCAATTTCAAGGTACTTTTCATTGTAAAACCAGTCAAAATCATCTCAATTTCTGTAATATGTCTTCCATTCTATAAAAATGAGACCAAGAAAACTAGAATACAACAATAAATACCATACGAAAATAAAGTGCAAAGTCGCTGTTTTAATCCAAAAACACAGTCAAAGTTTTTTTTCTCATTACGCACTGTGAGCTGCAGGATTTTTTTTTATACTGCTCACACTGACCACATAGACCCATTCTTTCATATGTAGGCCTACCAGCTTTCTCTCACTAGATTTGAGGGCGCTAGAATTTAGGCGTACTAGTACGTCAAAAACCCTGGGTCGTAAGACATACTAGTACAGTGGACCCCCACATACCGTTGGCCTTACATAACGTTAAATCCGCATACCGATACATTTTATCGCTAAGATTTTGCCTCGCATACCACTAAAAAACCCGCTCAACGCTGTTCGTCCGAGACGCGTCTAATGTGCGGCCTTAGCCAGCCTCACATGTTCCACCGGTGGCATTGTTTACCAGCCAGCCTCCGCAGTAACATCCAAGCATACAATCGGAACATTTCGTATTATTACAGTGTTTTTGGTGATTTTATCTGCAAAATAAGTGACCATGGGCCCCAAGAAAGCTTCTAGTGCCAACCCTACAGGAATAAGGGTGAGAATTACTATAGAGATGAAGAAAGAGATCATTGATAAGTATGAAAGTGGAGTGCGTGTCTCCGAGCTGGCCAGGTTGTATAATAAACCCCAATCAACCATCGCTACTATTGTGGGCAACAAAAAGGCAATCAAGGAAGCTGTTCTTGCCAAAGGTTCAACTGTGTTTTCGAAACAGAGATCGCAAGTGATGGAAGATATTGAGAGACTCTTATTGGTGTGGATAAATGAAAAACAGATAGCAGGAGATAGCATCTCTCAAGTGATCATAAGTGAAAAGGCTAGGAAGTTGCATCAGGATTTAATTAAAAAAATGCCTGCAACTAGTGATGATGTGAGTGAATTTAAGGCCAGCAAAGGTTGGTTTGAGAGATTTAAGAAGCGTAGTGGCATACATAGTGTGATAAAGCATGGTGAGACTGCCAGTTCGGACCACAAAGCAGCTGAAAAATATGTGCAGGAATTCAAGGAGTACATAGACAGTGAAGGACTGAAACCTGAACAAGTGTTTAATTGTGATGAAACAGGCCTGTTTTGGAAGAAAATGCCAAGCAGGACCTACATTACTCAGGAGGAAAAGGCACTCCCAGGACATAAGCCTATGAAAGACAGGCTTACTCTGTTGATGTGTTCCAATGCTAGTGGTGATTGCAAAGTGAAGCCTTTATTAGTGTATCACTTAGAAACTCCCAGGGCGTTCAGGCAAAAGAATATCCTCAAGGCTAATTTGTGTGTGCTGTGGAGGGCAAACAGTAAGGCATGGGTCACTAGGGACTTTTTCTATGACTGGTTACACCATGCATTTGCCCCCAATGTGAAAGATTACCTAACTGAAAAGAAATTAGACCTTAAGTGCCTCCTGGTGTTAGACAATGCCCCTGGTCATCCTACAGACGTGGCAGAGCGACTTTATGGGGACATGAGCTTCATTAAGGTGAAGTTTTTGCCTCCTAATACCACTCCTCTCCTGCAGCCCATGGACCAGCAGGTTATTGCAAACTTCAAAAAACTGTACACAAAAGCTCTGTTTGAAAGGTGCTTTGTAGTGACCTCAGAAACTCAACTGACTTTAAGAGAGTTTTGGAGAGAGCACTTTAATATCCTCAATTGTGTAAACCTTATAGGTAAGGCTTGGGAGGGAGTGACTAAGAGGACCTTGAACTCTGCTTGGAAGAAACTGTGGCCAGAATGTGTAGACCAAAGGGATTTTGAAGGGTTTGAGGCTAACCCTAAGAATCCTATGCCAGTTGAGGAATCAATTGTGGCATTGGGGAAGTCCTTGGGGTTGGAGGTTAGTGGGGATGATGTGGAAGAGTTGGTGGAGGAGGACAATGAAGAACTAACCACTGATGAGCTGCTAGATCAACTTCAACAGCAAGAGGCCAGACCTGAGGAAACTGGTTCGGAGGAGGGGAGAGAGTTAGTTAGTTTAATATGTTTATTATGCACCCCATACCCATCCTGTGGGCGGTAGTCAAAAGATTACAGAGGTACATAATTGGTCCAGGGACTGGGCTCCAAAGTTTTGATAGCTGAGCAAGTTACAGAGGTAATGAACTCACAATTTACAAAGGTAATGAACTCACAATTTACAAAGGTAATGAACTCCAGGTAGGTCTGGTCACAATCATGACAAGTTACAAAGGTATTTACAGATTACAGAGGTATGTAATGGGTCCAGGGACTGGGCCCCCAAAGTTTTGATAGCTGAACTAGGTACAAAGGTAATGAGCTCACAAGTTACAAAGGAAATGAATTCGTAGAATGGTTACTTACTTTTATACATGGCTACAATCATGAACAAATTATAGATTTAATGAGCAATTCACACTTCCACACCCGGTCACAATTGTAATGAGTTATTGGTGCAAATATTGATTGTTGAGTCACATACATACATACACATACACACATACACACACCACACACACACACACACACACACAACACAAAACACACACACAACACACACACACACAAAACACACACACCAACACACACACCACACACACACAAATCCCACCAAGTGCAAAGTCATGAAGATTGGGGAAGGGCAAAGAAGGCCGCAGACGGAGTACAGTCTAGGGGGTCAGAGACTAAAAACCTCACTCAAGGAAAAAGATCTTGGGGTGAGTAAAAACACCGGGCACATCTCCTGAAGCGCACATCAACCAAATAACTGATGCAGCATATGGGGCCCTAGCAAACCTCAAAAACAGCATTCCGACATCTTAATAAGGAATCATTCAGGACCCTGTACACCGTGTACGTTAGGCCCATATTGGAGTATGCAGCACCATTTGGAACCCACACCTAGCCAAGCACGTGAAGAAACTAGAGAAAGTGCAAAGGTTTGCAACAAGACTATCCCAGAGCTAAGAGGTATTTCCTACGAGGAGAGGTTAAGGGAAATCAACCTGACGACACTGGAGGACAGGAGAGATAGGGGGACATGATAACGACATACAAAATACTGAGAGGAATTGACAAGGGGGACAAAGACAGGATGTTCCAGAGATTGGACACAGTAACAAGGGACACAGTTGGAAGCTGAAGACACAGATAATCACAGGATGTTAGGAAGTATTTCTTCAGCCACAGAGTAGTCAGTAAGTGGAATAGTTTGGGAAGCGATGTAGTGGAGGCAGGATCCATACATAGCTTTAAGCAGAGGTATGATAAAGCTCACGGCTCAGGGAGAGTGACCTAGTAGCGATCAGTGAAGAGGCGGGGCCAGGAGCTCGGACTCGACCCCCTCAACCTCAACTAGGTGAGTACACACACACACACACACATACACACACACACACTTTAGTTTAATATCTTTATTATGCACCCCATACCCATCCTGTGGGCGGTAGTCAAAAGATTACCAAGGTACATAATGGGTCCAGTGACTGGACCCCAAAGTTATGATAGCTGAACTAGTTACAAAGGTAATGAACTCCAGGTAGATCTGGTCACAATCATGGCAAGTTACAGAGGTAATGAATCAGCTTCACTCCTATACACGGTTACAGTCATGAGCAAATTACAAAGTAATGAACCACTGATACGTCCACACCTGGTCACAATTGTAATGAGTTAAAATACAAATATTAAGGGGGATCATACACCCACACTAGCGCGTGCCCCGCACATACACACACAAGGTGCACGCATGGACATGTGCACACGAGCGTACAAATATATGCATACACACAAGGACGCACACCCACACACAAAA